GTGTTTTGATAAAACTGTAGCAGATGGCTAAATCTAGAAAAAAAAAACGTACCCCCAAACACATAATGAAAGGCACAATTTTCATGTAACTGTTACACATGATCTGGGAGCTCATACTGTTATCTGTTGTGCAACTGCAGAGTGCCCATCCTCCCCAGATCACTAACTTGTTTACAACCTGGTTCTGGCTGTTGCACTTGTTAGGCCTTTCTTGGAAATCAGGTTGTTTGGCGGGAATGTGCAAGGTATAATCTATGAGGAGGATTCATCCATTCCTCCTCAACAAGGAGCTTTCCAGCTACTCTCCAGCTGGCATCCAGCAGGTATAAGGTACAAATATGTAATCACATTGGATCAACTTGCAGAATAGAGATGGCACCAAGTACTTGCTACTTGTTGGCAAGTACTCGTTGCCTTCCAAAAAATACTTGCATACAGGTGCGGGTGCACGTGCAGGTGTCTGAGATCTGAGAATTTTCATGCAATTACTTGACTTGTTGCAAGTGTGCACCTGCACACCTTTACTTCAGATGGCACTTGATGTGCTTAGTTGTCCAGGTGTGTTTTTTATCTAAATTATTAATATTATTTTGGTACCAACTTTCCCGCACATTCTGAAGCAACCACTGTTGATGTGGAGCAATCCTTTAGCTTTGGTAAGGAATATGCTTCTCTCAGGAGGCACAAGCTCAGTGCACAGTCTGTCACTAGGGGGATGAGTGTGGCATTTTACTCAAAAAACGGTAAGATCAAGAGGGGGCTTTTGAGAAAATGGAAGGCAAATAAGAAGAATGAGAAGAAAGCAGCAAGGGAGAAATATGGAAGAAAATGAAGGGCTTATTACACCAGGGGAAATTTCAGGGCACTGGTTGGCCAGTGACTGCATGTCACCATAAAATCAAACAAAAATCACAAAAAATCACTTTGGTAACGAACCTGAAATTCCCATATTTTTCACAGTATTGGGAACTGATTTTCTCATATCTTTCACTCAACATTCAGACAAAATTCAAAATAAAATACTATCAAAGTCACTAGAGTTTCCTCATGTGATTAGTTTTTTATTTCACTTCTAATTTACAGAAATAGTAAATAGAATCAGCACAGAATGATTTTTTCTGCAGCCCCAGCATAAAAGTTTGAAAGTCTCTTGATCAGATCAGGATATTCTTTGTAGATTTAGATCCTCTCACACCAGTCAATTTCATCAAACTTATCATTTCCAGTTCTAAATCTAATACTTTCTCAGATAGATTCTGGAATTCATTTCCCCTAGTACAATAAAAACAGCCTCAAAATTACCCAAGTTTTAATAAAATTCAAAAAAAAAAAAAACTGTAATTTCTCCATATAAACACAATGCAATCAATAAGATGAGCTTTAAAAAACTCAATCATGAGACAACAAAATTTCTAAATTGAATTCACGAGAGGATGATTTTTTCATGGGTCCTATGGGACGGCAGCAGAGAATCATGAGAAAAAAGGAAAAAAAACAAGGCTGGGAGGGGTTTCCTCAAAGCCTGAAGACTATAAACTCATAGCAGCTCATTGGGAGAAAACCCTCCCAATGAGCTGGTTTCAAATCCAGCCCATTGGGAGGAAACCCTCCCCATGAGCTGGTCTCAAGACCAGCTCATTGGGAGGTTTTCCTCCCAATGCGCTGTATTCATAGCCATCTTGTTGGGAGGAAACCCTCCTGACATGAACCTATGAGCTTATGGTCTAAGTCTGGGAGGAACCCCCTCCCAGCCTTGTTTTTTTTCTTTTTTCTCAGGATTCTCCGCCGCCATCCTATAGGACCCATGCCTGGGTCCTAATGGCAGCAGTCCTAAATGCATATGTGTACATATGCATTTAGGAATCTTTGACGTGCACTGTGCAGGCCTGCACGCCGGTCTACACTCTGTAGATTGGTGTGCGGGCCCGCACACCAATTTGCTTTGGCGTGCAGGTGCACACACCAATCCGCACCTGGCGTGCGCAAGGGGGTTATCATGCCCCCTTAATCAAACATGAGCCTTCCCTGAATTGGAAGGAATTGATCTCAACAAGATGGGTCTGACACCAGACATCTGGGAAGACATCTGGGATGGAATGTGGACTCCTCCTTACAATCTGAATTTAAAATCAAATTGTTGATGGGAATCCCTCCTGAAAAACCATTACTTAATGCATTTTGTTGGGATAATTCCCTCCCAAAAAAACTGTGTCAGATAGCAGCTTGTTCATAGGTTTCCTTCTTGGTAATCTTTTATTCAACCCAGCTCATTGCAAGGAACCCCCCTGATGAGGTTTAGGCTGCCTACACCAAATTAGGAGGTGTTCCTCCAAACAAACTGGATTTCATCTGGGTTTAATACCAACTAATCAAGAACTCATCCCAATGAGCTGGGTTTACTCCCAATGTTTCAGAAGCTCCTTCCAACAAGCTGTGTTTAATGCCAACATTACAGGAGCTCCCCCTGAAAAACTGGTATCAAAAGCTGCTTGTTGCAGGGATTCTCCCCCAATAAGCAAGTATAAATCCCAGCTTTCCAGGAGGATTAAAAAGCTGGTTAAAAATTCAGTTTTTTGGGAAGGACTATACTTCCCAGCACAAGATGGATTTAATACCAGCCTGCCAGGAGGAGCCCCTCCTGGTGAGCTGTTACATAAGCCTGTCTTACAGGAGGATCCTCTCCCAATACTGAAATCCCAGGAGGAGTTGCTCCTGGAAAGCTGTATTATATTGATTGTTTTCCTCCACATTTGCTTTGGTTTGAGTATCCACCAGCAAGCTGTTTCATATTCCAGTTTTTTTTTTGGGGGGGGGCAATCCCTCCCAAAATAAGCTGGGTTTGATGGGATGCTCCCGGAAAGCTGGTGCATAATCATTTTTATTGGGAGGAGTCACTCCTGAAAAACTGGGTTTACTGGATTGCT